ATGGATTTTAAATAAAAAGAATTTATGACGAGTTGACCTATGTAACGTGCGAATAATTTTCAAAATCAGCGGTAAATATGAGACTGTTAATCATCATGACCGTTGATTTATCAACGATCGACTATTAAAAAAGAATTAACATTTGACGGGCTGACCCCTGTAAGGCTGTAACCGGCCGTTCAATTTCAAAATCAACGCTCTAAATGATCATTACATTGAAGATCGACGATCGGCCGTTGATTTTCCTCCATATAATTCAGAATATTTTCAAAATATTTCGAGTGATGACGAGGATATTCAAGCCGCAATCTCGGGTTCGAGAGTACATAATACTCAAGAACCAAGTAGTTTAAATGCGGACCAGACACTTAAATCTGATATTTTCACGAAGCATTTTTACAAACTGAAACTTCCATCGGGACTATTGCAGGCGAAGTGCAGATATTGTCCAGTAAATTTCATTAACATTTCTTTTATTTCTAAATACAAATTAGCATTTAATATTCATTAATGCTGTTTTTTTATTGTGTATAGAAGGCTTACAAGTTCAAAAAGGGAGGTGGCTATGGTTCTTTGAAAAAACATGTCAAGAACAAGCATCCGATGGAATTTGGCATTGACGGCACTCAAACACAAATGTTTATATGATAGTTAGGGATTCGAAGGTCCTTTTAATTATACTAAAAAGCAGGTTGCCCCCTAAACTAACGGCCATTTTGCAATATTTCCCCCGAACAAATTTTTTTTGCATGTTTTCACATGAACTCGCTATTTCGTTGTATGGTGCAAAACAATTCCCATAAACAGGCGAAATCGACAGGAATTTTGAGTGCACGCAACACGTGGGAAGAATCACCAGGAACACCATTCCATTTTACAGATGCAACCGAAACCGAAATCGAACTGTTCTTTTACTATTTAAGTTATTCAGTTTCAAAGTTATTCAGTTTTATTATTATTTTAACTGATCAATCTTTTGTAATTTTTCTAAGTTTTCTTCCCCCTGTTTTTTTTTGGATTAATGGTTTAATTTGAACTTTGATAAGCAATCCATAATGGCTTGTCACATCTAGCAGTTAGATAATGAATCAGATGATATAGAATTTAATGTCCCAATTAATTGTGTCTCTATTAATTAGTTATGATTGTTTTCTTGATCCAAATTTGAAAATGATATAATTAATTGATATTATATAGTTGAAGGGTGAGTTTGCTATACTTGTATTATTTGTGGGAATTTAGTACTTGTGTAGTGAGGGCCACACAACAATAGAATTCATGTTCATTTCCAGGCAGGTCACATGGGTATAATAGTATATACTCACATGCAAACTGACATTGACCTCTGTCTGATTCTCCTCTTCCTCTTTTTTTTTTTATTTGCATTTTTTACCCCATTATTATTAGATAATAATAATTTTACTACTTCTTCCAATTGGCCATCTTAGTTATATTCTACTTATGCCTCGTTTGGTAGCCAATATAAGATTAACCTGAATTAAATTATTGGACTTGATCCACAATTAGCTGTCTTTCAATAATCCCAAATTAACCACAATAAGAAAGAAAAAATTACAGGTCAACCCAAAAAAAAGTTGGGTCAACCAAACATCTAATTAAATCAAATTATTTAGTTAATCTTGATTTATCTCGTTACCCAAACGAGGCCGTAGTTTATTCATCTATCCCACCATATATATATATAATGCCTCATTATTTCACCAAAAAGTATAAATAGTAAAAGGTAATATAATAACTATTGTTCAAGGTTTTGGTTTCTTAATATTTCCAAAAAAATTGTTATTTAAAATTTTTAGGTACATATAGTAAGATAACAACTAATGAAATTAATGATGACGTCACTACATTCTTGATCAAAGGGGAAATTCATAATTTATGCATGTCATGTAAAAACTCCAAAGTTATGAAAAAATAAATCTATTGCAATATAATAATAATGCAATCTCAACACAAAGCTGCCGAACACACATTTTCACGTGCAACCTTGTCCTAATGACCTTTGTCCAAGGACAACATTATATTATAAATTTAATTACTAATATTTCATAATTAATATATATAAATTAAACCACAACTCTTGTAATTTACCATCATTACAATAATAACAACACACATTTAAAATAACAAATTAACAACCCATATAAATTTAAAAGAAAATTTAACAAGTTTGCAATGGCATTCCACACAAGCAATCGTTATTAGCGAACGACGAAGCCTCGAGTCGATCGAATGGCGATCCGGTTGGAATCGGGCCGCAGAGATGGTTATGGCTTAAATCCAAGTGGCCGATGAATTTAGCTGCGGACAATGACTTCGGAATCGAACCCCGTAAATTATTATACGATAAATCAATCTGCGTGAAGTACGATCTCTGGTTGAATACATCGGGTAGATTTCCCTCCAACGAGTTTCTGCTTAAATTCAAAATGTTGATACCCGGGTTAGCTAGTAAACCGGTTGGTATCTGGCCGGTTAATTGGTTACTATCCAAATTTAATGTGGATAGAACCGGCATTGATCCGAGTTGAACCGGGATTGAACCGGTTATTTGGTTCATGGATAGATCCAAATCCGCCAGCCTGTATATTTTGGCGAGTGAGTTTGGTATTGAACCGGTTAACTCGTTCCGAGTTAGTAGTGCTCGGCTCATCATGGATAATTTTCCGATGTCGGAGGGGATTTCTCCGGTGAGTTTGTTGTTGCTGAGTTCTAGGTGCATTAGGCTGTTGAGGTTGACAATGGACGGCGGGAGGTGGCCGGAGATTTGGTTGTCGGCTAGGTTCAGGACGGTGAGGTGGCTGAGCTTGCCGATGTCGGCGGGGATTTGGCCGGAGAGTTTGTTTCCGATGAGATCGAGGATTCTCAGGTGGGGGAGGGAGGCGATGCAGGAGGGGATCTCGCCGGAGATGCCCTTCCAGTCGGCGACGACGAGGGTGGTGAGGCGGTCGAGGTGGCAGACGGAGGGGGAGATTGAACCGGTCATGTAACCGGACCGGCCGGCTTTTTCGAAGATCGGGTCTTCCGACTCGCCACGGAGGACGATGTCGGCGACCCGTTTTGTTTCCGGGTCGCACGTGACTCCGTACCAGTTGGTGCAGCAGTCGGCGCCGGACCACGTGTTTAGGATGCCCAAGTAGGGTTCGTTGAGAGCTGCCTTGAAATCCAGCAGGGCTGAGTGGTCCGCCGGGGTGCAGGCGTCCGCCGCCGTGGCCATGGCAAGGAGCACCGCCACTGCTCCGACCAGGAAACCTCGGGTCAGGCAGCCCATTTCTCTGTATGTATGTATGTATGTATGATCTGAGTTTAGTGTGTGTGTGTATTTGTGTGTGTGTGTGAGAGAGAGAGAGAGAGAGAGAGAGAGGGAGAGAGAGGAGACACTGAGTTGTGGAGTAGTGTAACGTTATATAAGTGGGTTATGGGACGAAAATGCCCCTGGGGAGATGGAGAAATTACGGTATATAAATGGGATGATGACAGTTGATTGATTGATGGCGCACACACTAACACACAAACAATGGGGTAGTTGTTTGTAATAAATAAGGTTTATAGCAGGCACGTGACTCGCTCTGCCATGCATGGTAAATAATTATAGAGGGTAAATCCATTTTCAGCCCTGTACTTTGTTCCGTATTATTTTACACCCTTCTTCGATTACATCGATTCGCTCCTTGCACTTGAAAAATTATCCCAATGTGCCTTCCATGTTAATTGTCAGACATTTGACTTTAACAGCGTTTGATCTAAACTTTAAAATTACAAAAATGTCACCCATCTCAGTTTAAATAATTATTAAAAAAACAAAGACAAAAAAAACAAAAAAAAAAACAAAAAAATCAAGATAACGAGAAAGCATAGTCCACGACGGCAGCCACAATTTTTTTTTTTCAAATAATTATTTAAACTGAGAGGGATGATTTTTTTTGTAATTTTCAGACTTAGATCAAACGCTGTTAAAGTCAAATGTCTGAAAATTAACAGCGAGGGGCACATTGAGACAAATTTTCAAGTACATAGGAGCAAATCGATGCAATCAAGAGTAGAATGGGGTAAAGTGATATCAAACCAAAGTGCAAGGGGAGAAAGTAAATTTACCCTTATTTTGAAGTCTTATTTTTAGGAAGTGTATTTTATGAGAAAGGATTAGAGAAATAAAATACTGAATTTATTCAGGAAAATAGTGGGAAGATCTATTTTGTTCTCGTTTCAATGTTTTTAGACGAACATTCACGAAGGTTTAATTTGCTAAACACTCTTGAACACTAATACCTTTTCAAATTAGAACGATCGTAATTTTGAAATTTGCTAAAAGTTCCTCCAATTATCCGTTCTCAAAACCACATCTACAAAACGAAAATGACATTTCTTTCACTCTCCCACCTCTCACTATCAGGCTCTGGTCGGCCGACTGCCTAAATTCCGACATAACAACATTGGGGAAACGTTATTTTAATCTAAGATATATATTTTATTTCCAATTTTTTCCTACAAAGCTGTCAATTTTCTGTGTAAATTATGTATTTTTATTCTAAACTCTCAAACTAAATCGTCTACTTTTAGTCAAAATTGTCTAACTAAACTGCCCATATGCACTTTCAGCAAAATGAGAAATATACGAGTAGACTGTTAGCTATACAAAATATTTTTAAGAAACTTTTAGACAATTTTAGTTTTTTTAATATCTATATGTTCAAAATGATATGTGTCCCATTGGTTAATGGTTACCTTGATCCGAAAATATTCATCAATAAGAGTAAGACATATTCTAGAATAACCTGGAGATATGAATAGAAATAAATTCGAAATATAAGAAATATATCTTTGGTATTTTAATGAACAAAAGATTGGCCAAGAAAGGTAAAAAAAGAACATTCGAGCGGAAGAATTTGGAGAATTTATTTTAAGATTGTTGGTCGTCCTGAAGATATGAAGAACAATTTATTTAATTGATATTCCATCAAAATTAATGCTTTCGATTTAATATTTTTGATATTTTATATGGTACTTTGCTTTATAAGTTTATGTTGCCTATATTTATTGCTGGTTTTTGCCTAAACTTTGATTTGGATAATGACGAGTTAACTTATCCAATGACGAGTTAACTTGACTGCTTCATTGCTCTAATTTATGTGTTTTTAATGGGATTCCGACATTATATTGGCTCGTTTTAATGTAGTTAGGCCTTGTTTAGTTAGGAAGATTAGTCATTATTAATTAAATAATTAGACTTTGTTTGATTTTTTGTATTACTAATAATTTAGTGGTCGATCCACAAATATTATATTATTATAATTTGTTTTGCATTTTAGACAACTTTTGTTTTATGAACGTCTCGAGATCCGATTGTGAGAATTTGCTTGAAATTTATATAAGATCGTCTGCAAATTTTTTTTAAATATTTGAATATTTAAAAATAAGAAAATAAAACATAAATGATTGGAGAATGAATAACTATCCTCCTTAAATAAATAAATAAATAAATAAAAGGTGTGGACAATTGGGAAAGATACAGTTTTGATCCTTTATGTTTGCACAAATTTTACATTTGGTCATTTATGTTCACAAAAAGCACATTTGGTTCCTCATTTAAAAAAAATCATCAATTTTTCGGTCAATTTTTTGTTAGTACTAACAGTAAATTGACGAAAATAAGCTAAAGTGTTAAATTATTAAAACATGAGGGAACAAATGCATTTCTGTAAACATAAAGGACCAAATGTGAAATCGAGGCAAATTTGAGGGGTGAAAATTATAATTTCCCCCCTCCCAATAATACCATTCACAGTAAAGATGGGGCATGCCACCTTTTAGGTATTGTCATGTGTTCCATGTGATTACATTCTGATGCAACTACATACTGGAAATATTTGTTACTTTATCAAAATGGAATTTCATCTTTTAATTATTTGGTCTGAAATTGTGAATGTATTTATGGGTAAATTATAATAGCCCCTGAAGTAAGGTATATTTACAAAAAAACCATATCATTTTTCCATAATTACATCCGCACCTTTTTTTTACATTGCCACCCTTTTGTTGGGGGTGGATGTAAGAAACTTACAAACTTCAGGGGTCTGGATGTAATTTCTCAAAAAGAAGGAGGTGTTTTGTAATTATACTTTATCTCAGGGTGGTGGTTGTAATTTACCCATGTATTTTTTGAATAAAATCATCCAAATTATGATAAGAATAATTAATGACTTTATCAAAGTGGAATTTATTATTAGAAAATGGGAGGTACTAAATTTTATTGGTATAATTTATAATAGGGTAAATTACAACCACCCCTGAGGTATGGTCAAATTACGAAAACCCCCTTCATGTTTGGGTAATTATAACCACCCCTCAATTATAAATTTTCTTACACGTCCATCCTTGCGGTTTCAAATTTAGTGGAATCTTTGAGATTATATGGAATATTATCACTTTTGTACCCGGTTTATCCCATTCGAACTCCACATTTTGAAGCAAGATGAGCATAACATTTGTTTTTTTACTTGTATATATCAGATTGTGGTGCATCAGAAACTGCATTTTTACACAAAACGAGTACAAAGTAGAGCACATTAGGCAAAATCTATATAATTATGTTGAATTTGACACGATGAGGGTGGAGATGTAAGAAAAAATCATAGTTAAGGGGTAGATGTAATTATCCAAACAAGAGGGGTTCTTTTCGTAAATTGAACATACCTCAGGAGTGATTGTAATTTACCCTTTATAATACTATTTTTTTTTTCTCTCTAAACCTCTTCCTCTCTCATTTCATTCCTCAAATTAAACTGGCTAAAATGCATTTATATATATTTTGTTTTAATTGTTAAATAGAAACTGCAAATTAAATTAAATGGTCCATGGAAGATAACATGGGCTTATGGATTGTCGGAAAGAAGAAGACAAAACTCACTTCTTCTCACGTGAAAGTGTCAAGCCAAAGAACACCCTCCCACTCAATAATTATTACACAATTATGTTGATAATAATATATAAATAGCTAAAACACAATATAATTAAAAAAATATAGTTTTGATCTCTCAAATTTACAACAATTTTACATTTAGTCCCTCATAACAGTTTAATATTTACAGTCATTTCCGTCAATTTATTGTTGGTACTAATTAACGGAATCAAACATATGCCCATCACTGTCTTAACAGACAAACTAACGGTAAATACACGAAAATGACCACAAATGTTAAATATTAAAACATTAGGGACCAAATATGTTTTTTCGTGAACATTGTGTATCAAATGTGAAATTTAACTATCTATTTTCACTAACTAGTATTTCTCGTCGTGCGATGTACTGGATAGCATTTCAAAATCAAAAAAATAAGGGTAAATTACAAACACCCCCTGAGGTATGGTCAAATTACAAAAACCCCCATCTTGTTTGGATAATTACATCTACCTCCCTCAACTATGATTTTTTCTTACACCTCCACCCTTATGGTGCCAAATTCAACATAACCATCTAGATTCCGTGGGATGTGCTCTAGTTTGTACTCGTTTTGTGTAAAAATACAGTTTACGATGCACCACAAACTGATATATACAAACTAAAAAATACATATTATGATCATCTTGCTTCATAATGTAGAGTTTGAATGGGATAAAACGGGTACAAAAGTGATAATATTCCATATAATCTCGAAGATTCCACTAAATTTGAGGAGTTGAGGGGTGATTGTAATTACCCAAACAAAAGGGGTATTTTTGTAATTTGATCATACATCGGGGGTGTTTGTAATTTACCCAAAAAATAATTATTTAGATGCATGACAATAACAATTGTGGTAAGAAAAAATATGCTCACTTTGTAATAATTCAAGAGCTGACTCACTTTGCAATAGAACAACTTCCCTTGCCTCTTCTGATCATATATCAAAGATTTTAAGTCAGTGAATTTTATTAATAAGAAAAAAAAATAATGAGTTATGATTCATAAGAATCATAACTATATGTTATCCGATTTGTTATGGAATGTGTAGATTCAAAGATTTCGTTGCAAAATAATTAGGGAAAAATAGCTGAAAATGGGAGATTGGAGTTGAGAGGATTCCACATAATTTTTTGACTTTTTTTTTATGCAATTTTAAAATTTAAATTAATTTAATTTAAATAAAATAGTAAAGATAATACATATTAAAAAAATTCTAAAACACCATTAGAATCTTCTTAGGAGTTACCCTAGCATTTAGATATTTTTAGGGATGAGAAAAGAGAACCGAGGAACCGAACAGAGAACCGACAAAACCGAACCGAATTGCATCGAACTGAAGCATAAACCGCATACTCGGTTTTCAATTTTATGTGAACCGAAAATTTCTGTTCATATTCATTTTTTCAAGTAGGAAACCG